AGTTTCACTGGTATCGGTACCGAATACTGAAATTTTGGTACCGTGACAACACTATAGGGTATAATTGTATTTCAAAGTCAGTATGGTTTGCGGTTTTCTGTACAGTTTTTTTTTATACAGTTTCTATACAATAACATGTTTAAGCTTGTATTTTCATATAAAGTCACAATAATTGAGCCTGTAAGCAGCAGAATAAGTTCATTTTATCCATCTTCAGTTCTTTATGTCATACTGCACTACTAGAGGGTGGAATAGTAGAGTAAATGTGTCCAGATGCAAACATTATATATGTATATATATATATATATATAGTATAGTATTTCAGTCTGGCGAGTAAACAAAAAAATATACTAGCCCACTTCTGTGAGATACAGTGTATATATATATATATATATATATATATGTATATAGTAGATCATATGTAGATTATATTCCTTCATTTTCAAACGGTGTTGCTAGGCACTCCAATTAAACCTTTAAGACTTTCTGGACCTTCTGTGTTTCTGTGTCTAGTTTAATTTGCTCCTTATTCCAGATCTGGTAAAAATTCTGTAAACTATTCCTCTGCCCACAAAACTCCTCTGTTGTTGCATTGCATTAAATTTGTTTAGTAAGTGTATTTAATTGCAAGCTTTTTACAATTTTAGTTTTACTTGATTATTTGTGCTATATCAAACAACCATTTCTAACAACGATGGTCTCTCTCTCGTAATGCAGATTTTAGGTTCAGGGCAGGGCAGGCCTGGCTCTCCTGTCTACACAAACCTACAGGAGCTGAAGATCTCTCAGTCCTCCACCCCTCCACTGCCGTCCTCCTTTCCGCTCCACACCAATGGCGACTGGGAGACTCACAAAGACCAGAATGGCAGACACTTCTACTACAACCGCAGCACGCAGGAGAGGACCTGGAAACCCCCACGGGCACGGGACAGCTTCACCAGGAAAGAGGAGAAACAAGACATGACTGACACTGAGGTACACACACAACACCTTCTGATTAGACTCAACACAACAGACAGTGATGCATGCACGCACAAACACACACGCATGTATTGGCTTCATCAGGGACAAAATATCTGTTGTGGTCTTGGTAAATGCATGATGGGATAGCTAAACTCTTTCTCAACCTAAGCTGTATATTTATACGCATGCAAAGCATTCTGTGTAATTGATTTTCTCTTATCTGGTGGGTGAAGGGTTGATTGACTGACTGGTGATTTATTTCTCATCTCTTTTTTCCTTGTCTGCCTCTCTGAAATAACTCTTTTACTTTGTGTCTCTCTATATTTCTTTCTACTCGTCTTGCTTTTTTGTGATTGGCTGGGTGAAGGTTCTGTCCTCAGAGGAAAACTGTCTGAGCAGCCAATCAGACAGCCAGTACGGTTCGCCCCCTAGAGGCTGGTCTGAGGAAATGGATGAGCATGGACACACTCTCTATGTGTCTGACTATACTAATGAGAAGGTACAAAGACAAACTCAGTGTGTTTTCATGGTTGACTTTTTTTTGTCTTACTAAGCTCACAAATGGAGAAAAGACTAACTTTTTAATCAACAACTGCAGGGTGTCCTTTTTAAGACTGCAGGTCTTAAAAAATATTAAAAGTTGATAAATCAATTTAGAGAAAATTGAGGCCCTTAAAAAGTCTTAAATGCCATTTTCCAAGGTATTCAATTTTGTATCATCTTTTCATTAAGTATATTTGTCCGAATAGTGGGGTTCTGTGTAGTTTATTTATGGAATCCTGCAAGATTTGACGTCATCTGTTTCAGCGCTCACTGACTGACTGCGCCGCTGTGTGATAGCGCGGGGCTTGTTGATCCCGCTCTGGCTGAATTTCTGACCATTATCGCATGCTCCCATCCGCTCCCGCGATTTTTTGTGTGTGCTCCCGCAAACATTCTAATATTGTATATTATTTTCGCGCATCAGGGCGCCGCTATCAATATGTGGCGTATTTAAACCCCTTTTGAATGAGCGCTAGCAGTCGCAGTTCACTTTCACGTTCGATTTCGCGATCGCGCGCTCTAATATTGTATATAATTTTCGCGCATCAGGGCGCCGCTATCAAAATGAATGAGCGCTCGCAGTCGCAGTTCACTTTTGATTTCGCGGTTGCGTGCGCACTGTGTAAAGGGAGCACATCTTACGATATAAGATATTTTTCAATGAGCTCAGGATCTGTTGAGGAGCAAATCCTCCAACATCTTGTCAGTTATCTCTCCTTACTTTTGACCAGTGATCAGTCAAATCTGACTTCTGCAGCTCGAGTTGGATGCAGGGTTGTTGTTGTTTTTTTTCCACGAAATTGGGCTGCTTTTAAACTGTTGCCATGGGTTGATTTTCCCCAGTGGGTTAAATCTGAATTATGTTGTATTGATAAGGAGTTATCAAAGTAAGTCTGTTTAGTTGCGCTATCTTACAATCAATATATATTAAATGTAAGTTAAAGTGTCGCAGATGTAACCGGTTAAAACTTGCAGTGGCGATGAGGTCTTAAAATGTATGGAAAGAGTCTTAAAAAAGGTCTTAAAAGGTATTACATTTAACTCCATGATTCCTGTATATACCCTGAATGTCAAACTCATTCATTTACACCTTAACACAATAGTACAATGTTAAAAAGCCAACCAATGCCATGAGGCTAATTCAAAAAGTCAAGCTCTCAACCTAACCAGCACCTCATCCTCTGGGAGAAGTTGCATTAATCTGCTCTTTAGTAAATTGCCAGTGCCGAACTTTTGCGGCTAGACTGTATGCAACCACTCAACAACAACACGTATTTTAATCAAAACTATGCGCGCAAGGTAGTGTTGGGCGATATGGTCATTTTTCAAATCGTCATATTGCCAGTCAGTGAGATCGCCGATAGACGATATTATCGTGCATGGGTGGGTGGGGGC